TAGGGAAGGAGCTCTCTCCAAGGGAAGTCAGAGTAGGAACAGCTTTCTCCATTCTAACATCTGCTCGTTGTGGGCCCACAAGCATTATCACTGCTCAGCAGAAAGGGACCCAGCTCGCTCCCATCCCCTGAGCCAGCAGGAACGTTGCTCTCTCCATCCCTGTCTGGCTGAAAATACTTCAGTCCTGGAGACTCGCTGGGACCTGACATTTAAACCCCAGATGGCTGACCAGCAGAATCACCAGCCTCACTGACAGGGCATCTCCTTAAGGGGCCAGCAAATCCTGTTAAAGCTGCCGAAAGGAAAAACAAAACTAAAGAAACGCTGCTGAGCAACACAAAAGAATGCAAGCGAACCAAGCTGACAAAGGTCGGGGTTCCAGCACACTCGCTCTGCGCTATGGAGACGGCTCACCTGGGACCAGGAGACAGCTTCAGAGCCACAAGATGGAAAAGCAAATTGAGGAAAAAAAAAAAAAGGCAAAAAGAAACCAACCAACCAACCAAGGAAGTCAGCATAAAAGGAAGCTAGAACTGAAAGGCTGGAAGCACGAGAGGTAGAGGGGTCCCACCCGTCCCCAATGCTGTCCAGAACGGTTACCTGTCGCAAGGATGAGGAAGCATCTGCCCCCAAGGCCTGCCAGCCTGGTTCATAGGTGATGTGGAGAGCCTTCCCAGGGATGATACAAAGGAGCAGAGAGAGGAGAGCGGGTAACCCAGACTTTGAGGACAGAGGAAAAGACAGACAGCGAAGGAAAAGGTTTAGAGAGACAAGCGAGAAAGGGAGGTAAAAAACATGAGACAAACCAGAAGATACAAAGAAAGGCTCAAGTCCTCCCTTCCAGGGAACTGCTCGAGAGACCACAGGGCCACAAGGCACACCTTATCACTCCAGCGTGAGGTGCAAAAAGAGAACAGGAATTCTGTCATTTTTAGGCCCAAATTTAAGATGGGGCACGTTGCTTCGTAGAGCACCAAGCACCAACTCTCTGAACGCCAGGTTCCCTCTTAACACCTCTTGCATAGGCCGTGAAGGCATGTGAGAGACAGAAATGAACAAGTTAACAATAAAACACCCCGCCCTTGATACGTAAAATTACTAGTCCCTGTGGAAGCTGTAGCCCTGGGATTTTAAACCCCAGGACATCCGCACCATGTGGAGGTTGCCTACACGAAGAAATGACAGGTCCAAATCTTTAACAACCAAGTCACAAGAGCCAGCACTTCTCTAAAGATCATCAACACGAGCTTCGCTGAGACTGAACCAAGAACAGCAAAGTGAACTACCCAGCAGGCAAGAGTTATCTGTGCTTACTGTAGGCAGAGGGCAACTTCCTCAGGGTAGTCAGTGGCTCACCGAAGGGGGCTCTCGGTTTGGAGCTCCTCTGTTCTGACTGGAGGAATGGTTAGCACGGGGAGAGGTCACTGGACCTTAAAAATTAACTTTTCCTTCCTGGCCCTCAAAGCAGCACCTACCTGACTGCATTTGACTCCAACTTCCAGCATATCTAAACTGCTCCCTGCCTGAGCAAGAGAAACCAGGGCATCAGGCCTTCACAGTCACTGAACCAACTCTTCCCCTTTGGCTTGCTTTCTTTGTACCTCCCCGCCTGTGAACAGAGCTAAAAATCTTCATCTCTCTTTGCTGCTGCTGTCTCAGGTCCGTGGCTACAGCCAACGTTGCCTGAAGCATTTCACCCCAACGCCAGCAACAAGAGCACCGCGCAGAAGCTGACAAGACACATTCACTGACTCTGCTGCCAAAAGCAGACATTGCCAGCGTCACCAGCACAGTCCTGTTTGGTGAGAGCCTTCATTTCACAACCAGCCCTTCTGGATATGTTCTCACACAAGCCAAGTGACCAGGTGCCTCCGTGTTCCTTCAACAATTCTTCATGACAGAGGCTGCAGCTCCCAAAAAACAGGGAGACATATTCCCCCACCACATTCTCACCCATTTTCATTCTTCCTGACCATCTGCCATAAGCTGCCTCCTTTCTGCTCCCCAGGACAGCTGTGTACACATCTGGCTAGCGGAAAGTTCCCAGATGGAAAGGTCCTGCTAGCAGGGAGAAGCCTTACTTACACCCACGGTCGCAGCAGGCGGGGGGACTATCAAAGAATCACCAAAGGGAATGGAACACTGTTTGTCTGGAAGATTCACAAATGCTTTGTATGCCTCTCTGCCCAGTTCCTTCCAGTGAGGAAGGAATTAAATATAATTGATTGAATCTACGCTTTGCAAAGAAGAGGAAGAACAGTGACACGTCCAAGAACACGTGACGGAGACTACAACTTCATGGAGGTGTCCTGGTGTCTAATCCAAACTAGGCAGAGAGAAGAAACAACAGCAAATCACACCAGAACGGGTAGTGGACTCCACTGCCAAGATGCAGCAGAACTGGCTTCAGCTCAGCAACTCCCAACATATCCACTCTCAGCACTGGCAACTCCTGGATCTGTCCGTGTCCTCCAGGGACCCCTCAACTGCTTCCTCTAGCAGTTGTCCTGCCGCAGCCTTCAACATGCTTCCCAGAAGAGGAAATCTCCACAAATGGAAACCCTCCAGAGCCTGCCTCAGCACAAATTTAGGGAACAGGCCAGATTACTGCACAAACAGCTTTTCCCAACGCTGAAACCGCAGAGCCCTCCAGGAAGCCCGAGTCGGAAGCCGCGGCAGCTCCCCGAGACGGCTCCGAGGCCGATGCAGGGAACGGCCCCTCACCCACCTCTTTGCACTCATGACTGACTGGCTCTGGAGTCACGTTCGGGCTGGCAGCTGAGACCACTGCGCTGCTGGTGCTCTTGTTTCGCCCATGGCCCTTCCTGAAGACAGTTTTAGAAGGGCTCTGGAGCTGAGGGTGCAGCTCCCGGTTCGGAGAGGAAGGGGTGGATGTGATCACCAGCGTCTTCAGAGCGGTCACCTCGGCCTGCAGCATGTCGATCTGAGGAGACAAGGCAAGAGTCAACAGCACTTTCAGCACCTGCTGAGCTCGAGCACTCCCCCCTCCAAACACTAAAGCCACAGGGAATTAGCGACAAGCCTTCTCCCCATTCACCCAAACGCCCACCATCACCCAGAATTTTAAACAGGGCTAAACAGCAGCTATTCGGGAACCCACCCCTCAGCTCCTCAGTCTGAGCGCATTTTGCCCCAGGCTCTTTTTAGACCAAACAACCCAGAAGAATCTTCTCTCTCCTCAAGAAGGAACCAGTTGAGCAGCCCTGTGATGCGGCCTTGTCAGGAAATTCCAACTCCCCAGCTGCCCGCTCTAACCATCCCCACAGCTGTATCGCTTCTCGGTGGTTCCCCTGGCATCCAGTTCTCAAAGGGCAGCTGGATCAGCAGCAGATTGCACAGATACCTTCCCCCCCCTCACTCAGCATCTGCTGGAGAGGGAACAGAGCAAATGCAGCATCTCAGAGAGACTGAGCTGCAGGCACTTTACTCTCCTCCGGGCTGGGCAGGGATGGCACCAACCTAGCACAGGGATCACGTCACACAGAGTGCAGTTCTCACCTTCCCCCGTGCTTCCCTCAGCTGTTTCTCTGACGCCGCCTGTTTCGTGTTGGCTTCTCTCACCATCTTGTGTGCTTCCTGGACCAGAGAGAATGTTAGTCTGTCTGTTGCAGTCTCAGCTCATAAAGCCACCAAAGCAGCCAAAGCTCTGACATACTGTACGCTCTGGGCAAACAAGCAGGGGGACAGACATCGCTGCCACGTCCGAGGGTTTTACCCTGTCAGCTGCGAAGAGCCTTCCCCCAGCATTTCCCAGAGAAGGCTCGCGGTGCCAGAGCCTGCAGTGCATCCCCCTTCTAGGAGTACAGTTGGCTAAATTAAAAGAGTTCAGCTGGCTGAGCCCAAGCTCATCTCTTGCACCGATATGGGCTGTTGTGAAGAAAGCTCGAAGCAAGGGCCTGCCCCTCCTCGCCCTTGGGAACTGCTTCAAAGCTGAGGCTTTAACACCAGCACCCACTTGTGCTCCACCACATCGGTGTCTGCCTCCAGCCCAACGTCCCTGTGACTCAGATCCCACTGGCTTGGCTTCCTGGCTTCACCTCAGGCCTGCATCGTCACTACGGACTTGCTGACTGATCACCGGGCTGTTTCCCGATCCTGATCGCTGTCTGTGGCACAGATCCTGATCCAGATTGCTGCTCCCCGTCTTGGCTCCTCACTGGTGACGTCACTGCTCTCGCCTGGCTTGTCACTGCACTTTGCTCCCACTTCCCTTGCGGAGCAGCCAGCCCTCGCTGCTCTGGGCATGGCTGCAACACCGCAGCAGCTGGAGCTCAGGTGGGGGACAAAGGGTCGAAGCTGGCTTAAAAGCATCTCCCACAAAGAAGAGAGGAGTGGTTTGAGTCCCAGCTGGGGCCTCCCCACAGCGCTGTCTGGAAGCAATCTGTCCCATCCAGGCCACCAAAGGAAGGGGACAGCCCTGAGCTACACTATCTCTAAGTTCACCCTGAGCCCAGGCAGCCAAATCTCCAAGAGGGGGATGTTCTCTTGGCCCTCACACTCAGCACCGGTCTGGGTTTCAAAGGTACAGATGGGCTCTGGCTTTCCTCACTGCCCAGTCAGGTCCAGACATTAGAGCTGCTGGTAAATGGGATTTTGCCAGGATAGAGCTTGGCAAGAATCAAGCTACAAAAAATAAAAGCCATCAGGCCTACTGAACGCTCACTGGAGCAGCGTTTATGAGGACATCCAGCTTGTTCCCACCCCGAGCAAGGGCCGATACAAGACAGGGAATCATTTCTATTACACAGCAGCTGCTCTCCAGACTACAGAGCAGGCACAGGAAAGGGACAGAGAGCTACACTTTGCTCCAGCTACAAGCACCCTCACGTCTTTTTTGCCACCAGATGTACAGACCCATAACTACTGTGCTTTTTATGCCACCCCACAACTGCTGGAAGGAGAAAGAAACGCATCCAAATGCTCCCCAGGAGCAAGTACAAACCCCCACTCCGAGGCTCTGCCTGCAGCGCTGCCCAGCTCTGCTTCTCCAAGTGGGAAAGAGCAACAGGGGAAAGGAGGAAACTGTGGGAGGAGATGGCTGGAAGTTCAGGGAAAGCCTGTCTTAAAGGATTTGGATGTAAGCTTAGCTGAAGAAATGATGGGAAAGGAAGAGGGTGGTACCTCAAACAGGCTAGCTGTTAACTCCTCCAGTTCCTGCTCCAGCTGTTCTCTGACTTTTGACAATCTCTCACATTCTTTGTCCTTCAGCTTCAGCTCCTGTTGAGGAAACGGAGAAGGACACACGAGCTCACAGCAGGCCCCAGGAGTGCTGATGCCTGCCTGCCCCCACCTGTCAATCACCACCTTTCCTTCCCACCACAGCACAGACCCCCAGCCCAAGACTCCTGTCACTAAACTCTGTACCAGGCTCCATGTCACACCAAGGCATCCCTCCACGAGTTGTGGCAGGCTTTTCAGGCTGGAATTGCTCATCTGCCAGGAGCAAGGAGGCTCCACAGGAAGCACTGCCTGCCCCGTGCTGCTTTCTGCAGCAGGTTTCCAGGACTAGTTTAGATGTTGGCACAGAGGCTTTGGGTCAACCTAGCAACTGATGTCCTGCTCCAAAGCACTTTATGGCCACCTCACTCAGTCTCTCTCCTCTTCTGCCTGCTCCAGACTGCAGCACAGCCACGTTCAGGCCCTGCTCCCCTCAGCATCATCTCTAGGAAAACCCCCACTGCTCAAATCTGGGCCACCATCCTCGGGTGTTCTCACAAACTCTGGGCCTTACCTTTTGTGCTTTGTGCAGCTCTTCCTTCAGGAATTCAGACCCTTTTTCACGGATCTCCACTGAAGAGCTGCGTAGACGTGACACATTGAGCTGCTCGGTGGACTGGGTTTCATCCACACCTCCAGCATCCTGGCATCCAGTCTCCGGCTCCTCCCTGCTGCCTTTGGATGGCATTAGTGGCTTCCAGTGGCCCACGGCTGGTTGCTTCTGGCTGTCTTCCTCAAAATTGGCCTGGCTGTGGGGTACCAGCACAGTGAAACTTTATATGGGGGCAATTCATTGCAAGACATTCACCTCCAGCCTCTCGCAGGCACTGAAGTGAGGCAGGGAGGGTGATGGTGTATGAAGAGGGCAGGGGTGGTTTTGAGGACCTGCTCTGCATCCAGCAGCAGCACCACCAGTTCCTTTACCCTGCCTGGAGGCACTGCCTCCTACTGAAGTGCTCTTCACCCTTTTGGCATGGGTTGCTTCCAGACCAGCAACAGAGGAGGAGATGATGGTCTAAAACGAAGGCTCTGGGGAAAATCTCCACTCCTATCCCGGGATCTTTAAGAATCACACCCAAGTCTAGTTTGAGATGCCCAGCCTGCACTCCTTTTAAGAAGGGCTGGTTTCTCAACAGTGAGTACTCCCTCACAAATAATTGTGGACACACAAACATGGTAGGCAAAGCAATGCTATTAGTAACTCCTACCCTTCTCAACCAGCATGTCCCAGCTACTACTAACTCAGGATAAAGCAGGAGAACTACAGACACCTGCTCCAGGGATCCCACTCTTGCCTGCTTTCAGAGAGAAACAGACTGCAGCAGCTTGTTTAGGACTGCAGTATACACACAGAAGACCTAAGCTGAGAGACACCGAGAGTAGCAAGAAAAAGCACGTACAGTTCTCCCACTCCCTGGCAATATCCAGACCCTAACCCCCTCCACTGCAAACCCAGCCTTCCTCTCCCTCCCACCCCTGCTTCAAAGGGGAAGGATCTATTTTTAACCCCCTGATTTCCCACCAAAGCCCTCCGCAGAGCTTTCTAAAACAGCGTGTTCCCATCGAGCTGAGACAAAGTCCTATTTTTTAGTTTCAGTGCCGGCAAGTAGAAATGTACTAGAAAGAGGAAACGAGAAGAGTCACCCAGGACACTGTTCCCCAGTGCTCAGCAGGACTTTGTCAACTGCCAACAGACCAACACAGACCCTGGAAGAAGCTGATGAATTCAGCAGGCTTTGCAGCAGCCAGGCCCTTACGGAAGGAAAATGTAGGCTCGAGTGCCTGCACGACAGGGCACTGCAATCGTAGTGTGGCCTAGAGCACGTGCATCACCCCTGCCTCACGCATGGAGCTGTCCTCATGCGGTCACTTGCCATCTGAAGTCAGCAGGAGCACGACCGAGCCTTGCACAGGTGGCACCTTTCTATCACGTCCAGCCACCCAGCAGGAGACACGCGCTGCGCCGCAGATTAACCTGCTGCCACTTATCTCAGGGTCACAAGCCTCGGCCGAGCTGTGGTGCTGCCCTCTGCCATGCACAGCACCCATCCCTCCTCCCACATGCTCCTTCTGGCTACTGCTTCTTGCCCACCACCTTCTCCTGCAGAGAAGCGACCACCTTCTTTCGGTTAGGCTCACTTTCCGTTCTTCCCTTTTCCCAATCTCTGTATTTTCCTCTCCTGGATTTGCCTTTCTGCCTGTATTCCAGCCAGGCCACACTCTTCCCCCTTGCTCTGACTCCAGCCCCATACTGCACGACAGATGGGGCTTATCTCCTCAGCCACGTGCAGCTCAGAAGAGCCCTGTTGTCCCTGCTCTCACCCCAACACAAAAGGCAGTCAAACCATGAGGCCCAACCACTGACAGGCCTTTCTAGGCTACGCCACCTGGCAACAGCGTGGTGCTACCAACCTTTTCTACTCAAACTGCCCCCGTCCTGCCCCCCAAAGCTGTCCACGAGCGACAGTTGTCCACAGTCACCTTTCAAAGAGGGAAGCAAGCTGCAGCTACCGGCCAGTTGAGCTCAGGTACCACAGGCAAGCAGGGGGAAAAGCGCACGTGGAAAACTCTGAAACCTTGGAAGACGAAGGGCACGAGATCATCTCTGATGCCGTGCCGCGCCAACGGGACAGTGTTTTGACTACAGAACGGGGGGGGGGTGGGGGACACGCAGTCAGTATCACAGATTTTGCTGACCCCTCTGTTAAGCAAGAACAAGTCAAAGCACCAGAAGGAGGTCACACAGCAGTGCTAAGAAGGTAGGAAAGGACAGAAACTAACCAGTGTGCCATTGATTTCACCTAGTTTTACTGAACATTCACCAGGAAGGTCTAGCAAAGGAGGCTCTGGCGATACTACTAAACTTGGAAGTGTGGAAAATAACCTAAAAGGGTGTGTTGGGGAAAGGGCAAGAAAATAAAATTAGTTTTGGCCAGAGGAAAAAAGGACGACAGTGCCTCCAAGCAAAGATAATGAATCGTGAGTTATTCAGCATGCTGGGACTGCTTGATAAAAAGCAATATGCGCAAACACGGAGGGATACGCCTGACTGAGCAAGCCACGACCCACGGGAACTCCCAGGCTGGGCAGGCATCTATGGTTAGAGGGGCAAGAGAGTGCACAAGCGCGGACTACCCGGTGTTCAGAGTGGGCAGCTGCTGCTCCATCCAGTTAGGCTGCTCTGTTGGCACGTTTGGTTCATCAGAGGAAAGGCAGAGCTGCACAGAAGTAGTGAAATGATTTGAAAAGGTCAAGATCAGCTAACACGCCTCACTCACTTAAACAGTGACAACGCTAATGGGATGAGGAGGTCTCCAAAGGCTCCAAACACTAAGGAAGTGGAAGAATTGAGCAAGAGAATGACCCAAAGGAAGGAATTAAATCCATTACAGGAAGGTGGGGATGTAATGAGACCAATTCATCCCAGAGATCAGGGGAAGTTCTCTGCAATGGATTTGCCACAGAGCAGGAGAAGCATGCCAGACAGAGAGGTCTGTTCAACAGTTAAAGCATTTCTCAGGTGGCATAGTGGAAGACCTCTCTGCTGTGGAGTTTTGAGATTAGATGGGGTAAATTGCAGAGAATACACCTCTCCGGGTTCTCCTGCATTAAGAGAGGAAACACACCAGAAGGGCCCCAGCCACTTTGAGCACCTCCAGCTTCTGCAATCAGAAGGAAACAAAAACCAGAGCATAGAGGAAAAGCCAGATTCAAAACCAAGCAGCTAGTAAAAAAAAAAAAAAAAAAAAAAAGATAAAGGAGCAGCAGAGAAAGAAACATTGCAACAGTCCACTAAACCACTAAGACAGCGAATCTAACCCATACATAACAGGAAGAAAAAACCAAGGTTGTTTCTTTATGACTCTCAAGTTCTCAGATGGAAGTTGTTTGTCTTGGAAGACAGGTATTCCAGTGTATTTCCACACACCATGGAAGAAAACTGGAGGAATGAAACAGTCCCACCCATACTCCATAATGGCAAGGGACCTAAAAACCTACCCTGAAAAACCATCCCATCCTCTGCGACAGAACAGCGCCTTCTCCACACCGTGCAAACAGAATCCTCACGAAAAGCCTTGGCTATGCTGGCTTCTGCCCAGCCAACCCCCAATCTCCAGTGTTCAGCTGGGGCTTTGAAATACAATTC